AGGTGGGCCTAGTGAGAGGCTCTCCTTCAGTGGGGTATGTCCTTGAAGGGGATAGCCTGACCCCCGTCCCATCCTCTTCCCCTCTTTTGTTACGTCTCAGCCATGAGGTAAATGATTTTCCTTTGCTATGCGTTCCTTGCTATGATATGCTGCCTGGCTATGGGTCCAAAGGCAAGAAGGTCAAGTGGCCAGGGACTGAAACTACAAAACTATGAGCCCAAATAATTTTTTAAATAAAATTGGTGATCTCGGGCATTTATTACAGTAATAGAAAGCTGACTAACACTTAGAAGAGAGTCTTTCAGTATTGTTAAAAAGGTCAACTCACCATGAAGAAACAGAAATTCTGATTTTGGGTAAACCTAATTACAGCCCCAAAACACACTGAACAGAGGTAAATCAAACTAAAATGGAGAAATGGACAAATCTTCATTGGATCCCTTTTATGAGAAGTCTTAAAAACTGACTTGTGAAGTGATACCAAATATTTAGCCTCATTATTAATAAACTTGACCTAATTGAAATGTAAAGACTCTTGCACTTAACTGCAAAATATGCATTTTTTCCAGTGCACATGAAGTATTGATAAAATAACTATACTGAACCATAAAGCAACTTAGAATATCCAGAGTATTAAAATCATAAAGATCATTTTCTGATCAAAATAAAATTAAACTGGGGCTGGGTATATAGCTCAGTTGGTAGAGTGCTTGCCTTGCATGCACAAGGACCTGGGTTCAATCTCCAGCACCACAAAATAAATAAATAAAATAAAAATAAAAAAATAAAATTAAACTGGAAATCAATAACATCAAATAATTAGAAAATACAAGATTTATAAAATTCTCATGTGTTAAAAAGCTAAAAATTACACTTCTATATAATCTATGGATCAAAGAAGAAATTATAGTAGGCATTAGGAAATATTATGTACTAACTGATGGTGATGAAAATACTAGGTATTACAACTTGAGAGTTGCAGCAATAGCAGTAGTTAGAGGACAATTTATAGCCTTAATTCATCTATAATAATGTGAATAGAGTGAAAATTAACAAACTAAGGTTTAAATGAATTGGTAAAACTAAATCCTAGGAAAGAATAATGAAGAAAGTATTAAAGACTCATTAATGAAAACATAAGTTAAGGTAATAGAAAATAAAGGTAGGATCAATTAAACAAAAGCTGTTCTTTGAAACAAATAAGAATGATAATTCAGAACAAAGTGAAAAAAGAAAATACTGGTAGTCCAACATGACATTCTTTAGAAAGGATACATTAGCATAGTTTCCAATGATGTTAAAATGATGGTACAAGGATATTACAGGCCAGTTTTGCCTATAAACTGTAATATTAGATGGCATAGAAAGATTTTTAGAATCTTTATAATTTGCATGAAGACAGAGAAACTCGAAACTCTTTGCTTGGTGGTCTTGCTTCTCTCTCCCTTCTCACTAATCTGTTTTAGTTAGTTTAGCAGAACTGTGCCGCAGTCTGGCTGGGCACAAGATCATGAGCCACTCACAGCTTTGTAGATTCAAACAGCAATTCTTTATTCCCGAACTCACACCGGCCCTCTACAAACACGTTCTGGGGAAATCCAAGTTCTGCTGCTGCCAATTCACGTACTCCACGAGGCTTTTTAACCCTCTTCCCAGCAGGAATAACCTTAAACCTGGAACTGCCTTAAATCCAGATTGTCCTAAACCAGGAACGCCCTAAACCTGAATTATCCTAAACCGGGATACTTCCTAAAACCTGCAGGATATACCCTAAACCTGGATCCACCCTCGTCCTTGAGCAGGGTCACCTTTCTCAAACACACATGCAATGTCACAGCGAATTTCCAAGGCAAGTCCATTTAACATGGGGTAAGCTGGCAAGGAAATTTTGATACGTCATTCCTACTTGGCAATGGCCCTCAGCAGAACTGATCTTTTTTTTTTAAATCAATTAATTTACTTATTCAAATTAGGTATGTATGACAGCAGAATGCATTTTGATGAGCTGTGGTTCTTTTTAGAGAGGGAGAGAGAAAGATGTCAAATATCATTGCTTGCCAGGGAGATGCCACTGTAGTCTCAGTAGAACAGTTGAAATGGGAAAAACTAAGAATTCCACGAGTTGATGAGGATGTATAGCCACAGCAATACTCAACCTAGTGGTGGTAGTGGAATCCGGTATAACCAATTTAGACACCTGTCTGGCATTTTTAATGTAAAAAATATGAGTACCCTATTACTTAGCAATATGAGTACCCTGTTACTTACTGTATTCCTAGAGATAGACCTCAGAGATTGTCTATGAATACACAGGAATGCTCACAGCAGCACTTTCCTCATAGTCCCTGTTACAGTATAGCTATCAGGTGTCCCCCCAAAGCTCATGTGTAATATATGAAAGAATGTTGAGAGGTGGAATGATTAGATTGGGAGAGCATTAACCAATCAGTGGATTAATCTACTGTATGGATTAGCTGGGTGGTAACTGGGGAGGTAGGGTGTGACTGAGGGAAGTGTGCCTTTGGGGTTTATATTTTGCCCCTGGTGAGTGGTGTTCTCTCTCTGCTCCCTGATTGTGATGTCCTGTACTATACCACACCCCATGATGTTCTGCCTCACTTTGGGCCCAGAGAAATGGAGTTGGCTGACCAACTCAGAAACCATAGCCGAAATAAACTTTTCCTTTTCTAAATTTTTCTTGTTGGATCTTTTGGTGAAAGAGAGGAAAAGCTGACTAAAACAGCTCCACACTGGATGAAATTTCTATCTATAGTATATATATGAATAAATGGTGTTTTATCATAACACAGAATAATAAACAGGAGTTAAAAATAACAAATTATTGCCATAGTGGACAAATGTGGGTGACTCTAATTGACATGAGGTTGGGCGAAAGACGCTAGACTCAAAAGAATAACTAATGTTTGATTCCATGTAGACACAGCTCCAGAGCAGGCCAACTCATCCACACTGATAGTCTTGGAGGAGGGAATAATAAGGAAGGAGTCCACAGGAGCCTCTGAGTGATAGAGACTAACTGTGTCTTATTCAGGTGGTTACACGTGTGCATATGTAAAAATCTATCAAGTAGTACATAAAGATTTGCACACTCTATTGTATAAACTATACTTATTCAATAAAAGTAAATTTAGGGCTGGGGTTGTGGCTCAGAGGTAGAGCGCTCGCCTACCATGCGTGAGGCAATAGGATCAATCCTCAGCACCACATAAAATAAAAAATAAAGCAATTGTGTCCACCTATAACTAAAAAATAAATAAAAATATTTAAAAAAGTAAATTAAAAGGAAAACATGTCAATTACATTTTCATTTCTTGAATGTCTCATTTGATTCATTCAAACTATATCTGTGTTCATTTTGGTAGTCTTTCCTCCTCGATTCTATTTTCCTCTTTTATGTAAAATGCTCTGATTTTTTCTAACAGCTTCATATGTGGGGTGTTTGCAGGGTGAGTTCCAGTGTTATTCTTCTTGACTCAGTGAATGGTGCTGATTCCTGGTAAGTCTATTTGTTCAGCAGACAGTATGTAGAACTTAGCATGTGCCAGTGCTATTTGAAGTGCAATACATGGATTAAGTCATCTATTCTATACAACAACCTGTCAAGTGTTGACATATACACATTTTATGGGTTTGAAGCTGGATCACAGGGAGGAGAAGTGATGTGTCCCAGGACTTGAACTCAGGCTGTCTGGCTTCAGAGTCCAAGCTTTGGCATCCATGTCACCCTGCTGCTGGGAGCATGTCCTGGTCCTTGAGCTGTATTGGTATCAGTTCTTTAATGCTTCAAAGATTCCTAAACCTACTTCTGATTATTTCCTGGAGAGGCTCATTCTGTATCATTCTACATCTATATTAACTGAATCTTCTTTCCTAGATTGTAGTTTTGTAGAAAGTGCCCTGAACTGAGTATTGGGCCAAGAGAGTCAGGCCCAACTTAAGAGGGGCCTAAGTGTGTCCGAGCAGACACCTCAATCTCTGGAGTTTGTGTTTGTGGGGGCCTACCATGAGGTCCCTGGCATTAGATGTGAGGGCCATGCTAGCAGCCAATGCTTCTCCAGGCTGTAGTCTGCACCTGGCCCTGAGGCTGGGAGGACACAGGCTGAGGACTGTTGTGGAGGGGAGGCTGTCTGTTGTAGGCAGCAGGGTGATGAGTTTCCTCTGTCCCAGGCCTGGCAGCTGCCAAGAGCTCTCATCCTGAAGCAGTGACTAATAAATTACAGGAGGTCGGGGGTGTGTCTGTAGGAGTGAAAGAAATAATGAAGCCTCATAGGAGTAGGAGGGTGTATAGTTTGGGGGAAGGGCATCTGACTACAGATCAGGAGGTCCCTGGTTCAAATCCTGGTGCTCACTTCTTATTCCTGTTCTTGACCTATTCTAACAGACCCCTGAAATTTCAACTTCTTTAGAACCCACCAGGATAAACATTTTTATCACAACCAGCAAATGCTGAGGCTTTACTGTGGATTGTTCTTAACCCTGTTCTTAACCACCAATATAAATTAGAATCATTTGAGGAGTCTATAAAAGTGCCATTTCCCAGGCCCCACCCCAGGCCAATTAGATCAGAACGTCTTACAGGGAGAGGCTTGTCTCTTCTCTTCCTCTTCTCTATACTGTGGAAGGAAGACATGAACCTAAAGTTGGGGACAACATGTTGGATTATGGAATTGGGGCTTTGAAATGAAAGCCATGTAGGCTAGAATAACCCAAAAGATGGTGTGTGGCCTAGTAGGACGTAAATGATGGTAGGACACTAGCAAGTGCATATTGGAAGGTGGAGAAATCCAGGGTGTGACCATCCAGGTGTTTAGAATGCTTATTACACACTCATAAGTAGTAGGGGGTATAGCTCAGGGGTAGAGCATTTGACTGCAGATCAAGAGGTCCCTGGTTCAAATCCAGGTGCCCCCTTGCTAGAGTCTCATTTTAGATACCAAAGAGGAAGGCTTCTAAAGTAGTGAATAACAAGGAGTCAATAATGGCTCAAGTCCATCCGCATTGGCCCTAAACTCCTAGCCCTGTTCCAGGCCTCTGAACTGCAGTGTGTTCATTTGTACTCTGGATTCTAATCAGGTGACACCTCTGTACTCCTCTGTAGAAGGAGACAGAAAAGGGCTGGCTGTGAGGCTCCTCCAGGTCACATCTGGTCATGCTCTGGCACAGGCTGTCTTCTAGGGAGTCGACAACAAAACTCCCTCATTGCATGAACATCTAGCCCCCACCCCACCCCACCCCCGCTTTTTTTTTTTTTGGTACTGGGGATTGAACTCAGGGGCACGCAGTCACAGAGATTCATCCCCACATCCCCATTTTTATATTTTATTTAGAGATGGGGTCCCACTAAGTTGCTTAGAGCCTTGCTAATTGCTCAGGCTGGCTTTGAACTCATGATCCTCCTACCTCAGTCTCCTGGGCCACCAGGATTACAGGCGTGTGCCACCGCACCCAGTGTACCCTAGCCTTCTAAGAGGTCTGTGGTGATTAGGAGCCCAGCTTCTTCCTTAGGTGAATCCTCTATATAACCTCTGCAGGTAGCTCCTCCTAACCCCCTGGGCAGGGGCTCCTTACCTCCTGTTCTCTCAGGTCTCTGCTTAGTTTCCAGTTGCTTCTGTGGAAATATTATGGAGATAGTTGTCCCGAAGATCAAGGACAATGCCTTCCTTTTCTCTGTGGCCTCAACAGGGTCCAGTACCTGACAAGCTCCATGATCATTTGCTGAGGGAATAAGTGATGGAGTGAAATAATGAGTCCCCTCCTTGAGGCCTTGGAGTATGGAGCAGGCTCTCCCTGGGCTGTGTGTGAGGTTCATTGAAGATCAGTACCACAGTCTGATGACTGTGTGTGGATTTAGGGGAAACACTGGAGTCAGGTGTGCTTTCTAGGTGCAAATGTGGTGCCTCCAGCAGTCTGAGAGTGGAGATTGAGGGGACTCATTAAAGTTGGAATTATAATAGGTAAAGTCACTTTCCAATGGAGAAAGCTGGCAGTTTCTATATTTTTACCAAATTTTAGAACTGTTTGTTTTATATAACTCCTATCACCACCATTCATGCTATTGCAGTTGTTAGTACTGTGGATGATGTAGTTGATACTTGCTGTTTACTTTAATGCCAGATCTAGTTCATGGCTATTCATTATTTTTGCTTTTGGCAATTGCTGACACCACCATTCTTATTTTTGTAACAATTGGTGTTATTTTAATGTTGAATATGGTTTGCTTCTGTTGTTGATATTGTTTGTTTCTCCCTTTTTCTGTGAGGTCCCTGGGAATCTAGTGGCACACTACAAGTTCACAGAATAGAGATTCTTCTGCTAGGCTAAACCCAGCCAAGAGGCAATATACCTTTCTCCCCAAACAAACTAACCATGCTCAAACTTCAATGATACTTTAAAATAAAAATAAAAAGAGACTAAAACTTCAAATTAATGACCATATTTCAAGTGGTAATGTCTATGAGGACCATCCACAGATCCCACTCATAGACATCCATTCTTTCAACAAAAACAGAGACTTAATACAAAGGCTGTGGAAACCATACTCATGAAGGGTCTCAATCTATATAACTTTCATTGCTTTTTAGAATATATAGAGGTGTGAAATGAAGAAAAGCAATCATAGAGGTTGTATTCCACTGTATACAACACAATTAGAAGATCTATAAAAAGAATACCACTCTTTTGAGACCTGTATGGAAAATGGAATCCTCAAGCTCTGACACAATATAAACTGTATCAAAATATACTAATCATCACCAAAGAACTTTCAGGGAAATTGTACCTCTAAGCCCATTTGGAAATGGAAAAATTCACATCAACATTATAGTCCAGAATATTTTGGCAAGAGAAGACTGGGCCCTAAGCAGGTTAACAAATAAGAGTATAAGAAAAATCTATCCTAACAGATGCATAAAATCCAGCACAAGGATACAAAGAAATATGAAAAATCAAGGTAATATGTGGCTTCCTAAAATTTATCATTCACCAGCAAAAGTACTGAAGTGGATGAAATAATTCAAAAGAATGATGATAAAAATGATCAATGATTTTCCAGAAAATACAAAAAAACTCCTGAATGAATTAATGAGGTCAATATAGGATATAAATGAGAAATTTAATAAGAAGCTAGAGATATGAAAAAGAACCAAGCAGAAGTCTTAAAAATGAAAAACGACTAAAAAAGGCCAATAGATTTCCAATAGAGTAGAACATGCTAAAGATAGAACCTCAGAGCTGGAAAACAAAGTGGCTAACCTTGAACATTTAGATCATATTTAAGAAAGGAAGGTAAATAACCATGATCAGAATATACAAGACTCAGGAAAACATTAAGATTGCAAAATTAAGATGAATTGGAATTGAAGAGGATTGTGAGATACAGGCTAATGGCATGGATATTGTTTCTTCAGGGAGATAATAGAAAACTTCCAAATCTTAAGAATGAGATGGACATCCAGATACAGGAGGCATTCATAACCCCATATAGAGAAGATCAAAAAAGATCCTCTCCAAGACACATAATAATTAAAATGACTAACAAACAGAACAAGAATAGAATTTTAAAAGCCTCAAGAGAAAAACATCAGGTCATAATTGGAAGCCACTAATCAGAATTACTTCTGTTTTCTTAGTAAATCAGGAAGGCTTGGAATGATGTGTTCAAAACCTTGAAAGAAAACAATTGTCAACCAAATAACTGTCAACCAGGTTCATTACATCCACCAAAGCTATCCTTCAGAATTGAAGTAGAAATAAAAACCTTCCAAGATAGGCAGAAACTAATAGAATTGTAAGCCAGCATTACAGAAAATTCTTAAAGAAATACTACACACAAAAGAAATTAAAAAAAACCCCAAACCAAAAAACCCAGAAGTCACAAATGGAAAAATCTCATTAGAAATTTTTAAAAGAGGGCTGAGGCTGTGGCTCAGTGGTAGAGCGCTTGCCTAGCATGTATGAGGCACTGGGTTCGATCCTCAGCACCACATATAAATAAATGAATAAAATAAAGGTCCATACATATAAAAAATTTTAGAAAAAAAGAAATTTTAAAAAGAGTAGTTAAACAAATGAGAAGAAAGAACAAATTAAACATTAGAAATAAATAAAAGTGGCATGAATTAATAAACATCTGTATAATAACATTAATATAAATGTAATTGAAAAACATGGACTGGAAGAATGAATTAAAAAAACAAGGCCCAACTAAATGTTGTTTGCAAGAGACTCACCTTACAAGCAAAGACAGCCAGAAACTGAGTCTGAAAGAATGGATTTTGATATACCATACAAATGGAGTTCCTGAAAAAACATCAGTACCAACTCATGAGTTCCTGAAAAAGCATGAGTACCAACTCATGAGTACCTACTCAGAATACCTAAGCAATTTTAAGACAAATAAGCAATGCTATAGGCATCACAATACCTGACTTACAATTACACTACAGGGCTCTAGTAAAAACTGTATGGCATAGAAAACAGACAGATAGACCAAAGGTACAGAATAGAAGGGATAGAGGCAAACCCACATAGATACAGTCATGTGATTCTTGACAAAGTTGCCAAAACACATTGGAGAAAATTAAACCTTTTAAACAAATAATCCTGGTAAAATTGGTTATCCATATGTATAAGAATAAGACTACATCCTTATCTCCCACACTACACTAAAGTCAACTCAAAATAGATCAGAGACCTAGAAATTAAACCAGAAATTATGAAACTCCTAGAGGAAAACATAGGGTCAACACTCCAACACATAGGTACAGGTAATAACTTTCTCAATAATACCCCTAAAGCTCAGGAAGTAGTACAAAGAATTAAAAAATCAAATAGCATTTAATTTTAAAGCTTCTACACAGCAAAGGAAATGATTAAGAATGTGGAGAAAGAACTTACAGAGTTGGAGAAAATCTTTGCAAGCTACTCTCTTGACAAAGGATTAAAATAAGAAACACTCAAAAAACTTACCCCCAGTCAATAAAACCCCACAAATAACCCACCTGGCCTCAAGGCTGGGAAGACACAGGCTGAGGACTTTTGGGGTGGGGGGTGCTGTCTGTTGTAGGTAGCAAGATGATGAGTTTCCACTGACCCAGGCCTGGCAGCTGCCAAGAACTCCCATCCTGAAGCCATTCATAGGTCACAGGTAGTCTGGGTGTGGCTGTTGGAGTGAAAGATATTAATGAAACCTCATTGACATAAGAGGGGGTATAGCTCAGGGGTAGAGCATTTGACTGCAGATCAAGAGGCCCCTGGTTCAAATCCAGGTGCCCCCTACTGTGCTAAATTTGTAATCACTGAAGTGCATCCAGTGTTTTGTATTCTGCTGTGGCCAAACTTGCTGGGAGGATGATAAATAGTATCACTCTCTACCCGACAACATCTCCAAGTGCTGACTAAATAGCCCTGCTTGCTCTGTAGTGTTTGTATTACAGAGAAACACACTGAATCAGAGTTACCCAGATTGACTTGCATTACTGCATTATTACTGGCTGACTTTATTCAAACCCAGATCACATGCAGTAATTCTGATCAGCAGAACTCAGGTTAGGGAACTTTAATTTAGGGGAGCACTGTCTCCTGCTAACATATACCCTAACAACCAGTGATTCTAACTGACAGAAAAATTGTTGGAATTTACATCATCATATCATTGTTAAGAACATTTCAGAGGAGACCAGTAATGAAGTCCAGCTAGTGTCTTCAGTCCCTGAGTGAAGGACAGTTGGGTCTGCAGGGACAGACAGTGGCCAGGTGGGTGGAGGTGAGCAACTGTAGGAAAGGCATGCAGGTTAGATGAAGCTACAGGTGAGGAGAAGGTGACAAACTGTAGAGGCAGAGCTTTGCAGGGGTGGTGGAGGCCCATAATGGAGGCCTGGACTCCCTGCAGTAAAACTCACCACTGAAGCAGGCTCATTAGGTGACACTGGTTGCTTTGAGTAAGATCTTGGACTGAGGAGCACAGACAGATGCTCTCTGGTTTTTCTCTCAGAACAGGTATAGAAAACAGTGTCTTTTCTCTTCCTCAGTCCCCTAACGTTAAATCTTCCTGCAAGGAGAGACCAGAGGGGCAGAGGTTCTCTTTGTTCCACCCCTCCCTTTCTCCTGCTGCCCCATGTGACCTCCGTGCCCCAGCCCTTCAGTGCTCTTGGCTCTGCCTCTTTCCTTGGGTGGGCAATTCTCTTGCATTGGTTTCTTTTTCTTCTCATTTTGTCCCCAGCCTGTGCACCCCCTTGGCATGTTTTGAGGGTCCCCAGTGGTGTGAGCCTTGTGAGAAAGGGCTCTGCTTGCAGCCTCAGAAGCCAAAGTCAAGGCCCCTTCCTCCCTTTGTCCCTCTGTCACTTCTGGCCCACCAGGTGCCTGAGACTCACACTGCACGTGCAGACTGAGTGGCACAAAGGCCAGGGCAGCTCCCCACTGTTTTGTGCACAGAAGCTCTTCCTCATGAATGTGGGCTCTATTATGAGTCTGTCACCAATCAGGTGTGTTTTTTTTGGATATTATTAATTACTGTCATTTTTTTCCAGGTCTATAGCATGGAAGGGAACAGTTTAAATTACTATCTCCAAACTGTGAGTCGGAATTGCTCAGTAAGCTTGTTAGAGAGACACATCGTTCCTAGTTTCTGTTCCCAGAGGATCTCACGTGGGAGTTCTCAGGGAGAAGCATGAAGTTTTGCTTTTGCCCAACCCTGCTCCACCCTCACCTCCACAGGGTCTGCTGAGCAGCCGGCTCCTTGAGTCTGGCTCTTCTAGTTGAGTTTAAGGAGGTTCCAGCTGCAGACATCCATGACATTAATGCCTCACCTGGGGACTAGAGAGGGGAAGGTGCTGGTCTTAAGTAGAGGGGGAAGGCAGGTGTGGACACAGGAAGAAAGTGTAGGATGAAGGAAGTAGGTGACACTATCGAGTGCATATCTCCAGGAGAATCCAGGGTGTGGCCTTTCATGTTTAGGGTGCTTATTGCACACTCCTAGGCAGCAGGGGGTATAGCTCAGGGGTAGAGCATTTGACTGCAGATCAAGAGGTCCCTGGTTCAAATCCAGGTGCCCCCTTGCTGGAGGCTCTTTTACATGCCAGAGAGGAAAACTTCTAAAGCCCTGAAGAACAAGGTGTCACATAGTGACCATGTCATCCGTCTTAGCTCTTACCCCTAGTGGTGTCCCAGGCAT